TCACAGCAACCTCCAACTCCTGGGCTTAAGTGAGTCTCCTGCCTCTGCCTCCCAAGTAGCTGGGACCACAGGCATCCGACACAATGCCTGGCCATTTTTTTGTTGCAGCCATCATTGTTGTTTGGTGGGTCTGGGCTGGATTCGAATCCACCACCTTAGGTGTATGTAGCTGGCGCCTTAGCCACTTGAGCCACAGGCACCGAGCCGAGGCAATATTTTCTAATTAAGTACCACAGTTTGGTGATAAATAATAAAACAAAAGAAAACAGGCTGGGCACAGTGGCTCACACATGTAATCCTAGCACTTTGGGAGGCCAAGGCAGGAGGATCCTTTGAGATCAGGAGTTTGAGGGTGTAGTGAATTATAACGAGGCCACTGTACTCTAGCCTGAGTGTCAGGGTGAGACTCTTGTCTCAAAAAATAAAATAAAATAAAATAAAAGCCTTGGAGTCATACAGACTTGAGTTGGAAACCTGGATATATTAATTGACTTTATGTAAATTAGCCTCTCTGAGCTTCAAGTTTTCTAGATATAACACTGAGATGGGAAAAATACAGCTACTTGCCTCATTGGGTTGTTGTGGATACTGAAGGTGCTATTGCTGGTACATAATAAATGCTTAGTAAATTAGAGGGCGAGATGCAGACCAAGAAACAAAGGATTATAGTGCACAGTGTTAACTGCTATGGTTGGGGATACCAGGTCCTGTAGGAGTCCATAGTAAGAACATCAGGGAAAGATTCTTGGAGGAACTGGCACCTAAGTTGGCCAGCTGGCCAGAGCTGGGCTAGCATTATAGGCAGAAGGAGGAATAGTGAGATGGCTCAGTCATAGTGGGGAGGGAGTGGTGGCCATGAAAAGAAGTTTGGCTTTTATCCAGAGAGCAATGGGGGCCACTGAGGAGTTCTAAGCAGGGAAGCAACAGATCAGATATGCAAGACTATGGGCAGGGAGACCACTGAGGTGAGAGGCCATGGTGGCCTGGACTGGGGTTGGCCTGCAGATGGCGAAGGTGGTCTCGTTGGTGAGACATTTAGGAGTTAATGGCAAGACTTGATGATGATTAAGTGGAGGTAGAAGGACAAGAGGATGACCCCCTCAGGGTGAACAGTGGTGCCTTCTATCAAGACAGGGACAGAGAAGGAGCTGGAGCCAAGGGCAAGGGTACAAGATGATGAATTCAGTCTTGGATCTGTGGGGTCTGTGAGATAGTGAAGTCAAACTGTCCCATAGACAGCTGGATACATAAATGTTAAGCCAGAAGGGTCTGGGCTGGAGATACAGCCTTGGAAGATGTGGTAGGCTCAGTTATGGCCCCCAAAGATATCCAGGTCTTAATCCTTGGAACCTGTAACTGTTACACAGTAAAAGAGCTTTTGCAGAATTGATTAAATTAAGGATCTTGAGATGGGGAGATTATCCTGGATTGTCTATGTGGGCCATAAATGGTATCAAAAATATACTTAAATAAGAGAGAGACTGGAAGAAATGTGACCACAGGGGAAGAGGTAATATGACACTGAAGAAAGGTAATTGAAGATGTTGCTGCCCTTGAAGGTGGAGGACAGGGCCACAAGCCAAAGAATGGAAGAAATGCAGTTCCCAATGCTCCCCTAGAGCCTCTAGGGGGAGCACAGCCCTGAATATACCAGGATTTCCATCCAGTGAAACTCATTTCAGGCTTCTTTTTTTTTTTTTTTT